TATTGTTTAGCATATAACCAAATACATACATTAATAAGTTATATCACTTAACTAAAATTTCAATAATTAGTACAAATATCACAAACAATAATGCACAAATAAAAATCAAATTATAACCACAACAAGCAAGCATGAAAATAGTGATTCATTTCTTCTCTCTCCATCTTGACTAGGCTTGAAGAATTACATGTTGTTCTTGTACTCATCAACCCATATGAAACAAGTATCATGCTCACACCATCGTGGACATCGATAAAAAGCTCGCCTATTGTTTCATTTGGTCCTTGCCACCAAAATATTCATGTTCCCGCATCCACACGAGCATGGAGGGCTAATGCGTGCTATTAAAACACACCTAATTACATTAACATTAACAAGTAAAAATTAGTCATATAAACATTAAATTCAATATAACAATGCATGTACCAACACATTTTTATNAAAACACACCTAATTACATTAACATTAACAAGTAAAAATTAGTCATATAAACATTAAATTCAATATAACAATGCATGTAACATTTTTATCATCATAATATATAATAACATTAGGACATGTATCAATGGTGAGTTGATGCCCACAATTGAGTAACAATTGTATCTTTGACACGAGCCATTTGACGCAGTTGACTCGGACTTAAGTCTAATTCCATTGGGACTTGTTAACTTAATCCTGCAACAGTTCTTTTATTATCAACAAATTCTCTTCTTTCCCACTCGTCAAAGAACTAGTTTTGACAAGAAATCATTCTTATGAAGTTATGCACTGTACAACATGCTGTGGGAATGTATTTCTATGTGATTAAGGGATATAAAGACATTAGTTTCATAATGGGAAAACGAGCCTTTAGAACTCCAAACTAACGTTCTATCACATTCTGAAGTGACAAGTGACGATAATTGAATAGTTCTTCTTTACTGGTTGGCTGTTGACCCCTACCTCTATACTCACACAGGTGATATCTCTCACCACGATACGGGGACAGAAAACCAAGCATGTTTGTGTAACCCGAATCCATAACATAATATTTATTTGTCAAAATTTATAAGTGTAAGATCCATTGTCTAGTTTTATGTATAAGTATTATAAATTCCATGATTACGCTTACCCTTTGGCGGCATTGGAAACTTGTTGGCTGAATTAGCAACACACTCAGCAAATATTCTTGAGTCATGAGCAGTACTTTCCCACCCACTTATTACAAATATAAAGCGCATGTCAAAGAAATATGCACACATTACATTTTGGGTTGGTACAACACACTTCCAATGGTATAGTATCTAGGAATTCGCTAGAACACGTGCATCAATGTGGGTGCCATCAATGGCGCCAACACAATTCTTCAAAGAAAAAAAAAATACATGAATGACATTGAAAGTAATATTTTGTTACAACATATATTTCAAATTACTGTCACTTAACTCAAAGAAAGGGTAATATCTTGGGTTGAAACGAATCTAAGGTTGAGCCATACTAAAATCGGGAGGGCTGATGATATCAACTCCAAGCCTATAAACTGNACTCAAAGAAAGGGTAATATCTTGGGTTGAAACGAATCTAAGGTTGAGCCATACTAAAATCGGGAGGGCTGATGATATCAACTCCAAGCCTATAAACTGTTTTCAAAACACGATTAAAAAATTTTAAAATAATCTCCCCCGAATGCTGAAACTTTTCAGCTATTATGCAATTTTGCTCATTATGTGATATTGTGAGTAAAAATATCGCAACTTGCTCTTGCACGGTTACAAACCTGGAGTATTTCAACCTTTTTTATTTTAATGCCTCACAAAACAACAAGAACACGGATGTGTCCATTCTAAATTGCTCATAGCACCTACTTTCATGTCCATGTAATAGCTCTAACATGTCATTATGGCTCGTAAGAGCAGACGTTCTATATGGTTGTTGTGATATTTTTTTGACTATCTAATTCTATTGTAGTCAATTCAACAGACATCTCATCATCACTATCTAATATCCAATTCTTCATCTGAATTTATTATTGAAAATTCAAGTCTACCAGTAATATTCATGCGTAATGCACATATCAGACATTTATCACAAAACATTATAGTACGCATAATAATTAAAGTACAATCCAAAAGTATGCATAATCCCAAAGTACACATAATCTCAAAGTACACATCCAAAATGATAGACTAAAATACAAACATCACAGGTGAGTAACAAAGTCCTTCTTCCTATGATCTAACGTAGACAAGAACATCTTCCTATAACTCAACCATCTACAAAAATCTTAATGGCCTTTGTATATGAAGTTGCATCAATGTCCTCAAGAGAATTCAAAGCATCCACACATTTTTCTAGTAGATCATCATTATGCGTAATAGCCTTATTATCACCACATGAAGTCGTCATCATAGACGCACTAGACATCTTATAATCAATATACTCTGTCTTCTTCTTTGAACTCTCAACCAACACATTAAGGATAGATGTAAGTGCAAGGTTATAATTATCCTTCTTCCTATGACGATTGGTTGTTGGAGTGGTAGACCTAGTTAAAAGCGTATCCACCTCATCCCCCTAAAGGTCAACCTAAATTCCAAGGACAATATCCAGTAAGCAAATGGTAAGAAGAATTTGAGAAAGAAAATGTATCCATACTATAAAGAACTTGGATAAAACATGACAAAGATCGATTATAAACAGGGACGCATACTATTGTGTTCTAAGATTTTCTTTGTATTAAATTTTACTAACACAACAGCTACAGCTACAAGTATGCACCCGTGCCATAATACTCGTCCATAATGAAAGGAAACTATATTTATTTGCATTCTAATAGGTAGCTGATAATAATGGAAGAATGAAATAGGGCAGCTTGAGTGCCTTATTGGACATTTTGTTTCAATACCTTTTCTTTTCAGTCCATTAGGAACCTTATCATAGACTTGTACTCTTTATATTCAGATGAACTTATCTTATGGGCTACACTGGATCCAAAGTACAAGGGTACTATCATCTTCTCTATGAGAGAGAGAGAGAGAGAGAGAGAGAGAAGCCTACCATCTGTCATCCTCAACATTAATTAGTAATTTATATATTTTTTGACTCCCTTAAATGTTGTAAGTTTGGAAATTGGAGATACAACGATGTAATGTGTGATTACTCACGATAATCACCACTGCAAAAGAATCTGAACAACACACATACCCAAAAAAGTGAAAACGCTCCATGTATTAAGGAGATATTATCAACGACACACTAGTAATATTTTGCTAAAAACTAGAGCAGAAGTAAAGAAATGGCGAAGAGCTTCGACCATATGTCCTCTCCAAAAATGCCTATCAATTAAAGGCTCTTTTTTTTTATGGGAAGTAGTCATGGGCCACCTATTTAAGTCATTTTTCTGTTTTCCTCTTTGGGAAAAAAATTAATAGCCTGTTTAAAGAATGATGCACAAAACTTGCAGCAAAATAAAGATGCTGAAATAAATAAGCTTTGGAACAAGTCCAAGACAAAAGAAACTACAGATGAATCCATTTAGGAAAGTTATAAGTGTGAAATTGATTCAGGATATGACGTGCATGCCTGTTAGTGAATGAGTGTGTGTGTGTGTGTGTGTGAGAGAGAGAGAGAGAGAGGGGCAATCAAGGCATGATTGCCCCTAATCTTTTAAAGGAAGTGGCCTGGGTAGGCTTGAATGACTAAAAGATTTTTGCTAAAAACTCTAGGAAGGCTATAATTTGAGGGTATGGGATAGAATTTATTTTTTGGTATCTTTTTGGGCTTCAATGTCTAATGAGTTTAAAGTTGGAAGGCATCGTGTGTGCCTTGTAGAATGTTCACTGATGTTTTGTTCACAACAGTCTGTGTTTGTTTTTGTGTGTTGGACTTGTTTACATTTGTTTTTATTTTCTTGTAATTATCTCTTGTTATCAATAAAATTTGTGTTTATTATCAAAAAAGTAGTAAGGCTACAAATATGTCATTAGCCTAGGTGAACTGAATTTCTTCCAAGAATCAACTATATTTGATAATTTGACAACTAAACTTGCAATCCAACCATTTTAAACATTTGAAAAAATGTCTATATGGAATGACAACTGCCTAGTGACAGCTTTTGTTTAAGTGATATTATCAAGAATGTCCCAAAACAGACAGGATATTCAAAATTGAAAAATGCAACAGTGTTCAAACTTATACATTCATACACATAAATATTTCAAGAGTATATGTAATGAAGTTCTTGAATGGAATATAGGTTTGTAAATCAGTTTTTCACTCCCAATAAAATAAATGACATATTGCATGTTAGTTTTAACTTGAGCATTTCACAAAAAATGAAAAGTTCCAACTCATTACCTCAGCCTCGGCCATTTGAAGGTCAGAACATCTCCTTTTAAGCCTCTGCTTAGACATCAATCCCGTATTCCACACTACAAAAAAAAAGACTTTTACTAGAGTTTAATAAACACCACTAAAATGTAAAGAAACACCACAAAAACTAAAGTGACATTTGCTAAACGCTAAAGCGACACTTATTTAATCGACGACTTCATTGTAAAATTCCAGTTACCAGAGCTATTTATGGCATTTATTTAAACACCAGTAATTATTATTTTTGAGCAACTAGTTTCCGGCACTTAAATAGACGCCGGTAATCTTTTTTTTTTTTTTAAATAGAAATTTTACTTATTTATAAAACAGAGAAATTACAAGAAGCAACCAAGGCACAATAGCCTCACAAAAAAAAACCAAATAAAACTAAGGCACAGGCGGCTTTTCAAGTAAAATCTCAGCCTACAACCATCAATCAGTCCAAAGACTTCATTACAGCTGCCCTCCTTCTTCCAAAAATGCAAACAAATCAATACTACCCAAGCCAAAACGTGTTGGCCTTTATCATCAACCAAACACGTGCAAATTCAACATAGACTGAAGATACCAAAACACGCAAAGATACCAGCAGCCGCCTTACAAAACAACAAAATAATAGCAAGGCACAGATGCCTTTCAAAATAAAAGACTTAACAAGAACTCTCAACAAAACCATATAAAGCAGTGAATTCTGCAAGCAAGCTTTGTCTGACTGCCGGATCTGAGCAAATCAGAGTACCAAATATACCAGTCAGAGCATATGCAATGGCGCAAAATGGGAGAGCCTCCAGTTCTTTTGCTGACAGTGCTGCTGTTCCTAATCCGTGTGCACTGGAACAAACAAGAAAAGAACAATATTAAGGCAATAGTATGTACTTGATTTGAAAATCATCATTAACCTTCTTCTGAATTTTCTTTTCTCCCTTGAATGAGTGTACATTTCGATCAAATCTTATGATTATGGAAAATGCCAGTAAGTTTTTATAAGTTCACTTGATTCTATTTGCATCAATGGAAAATAGGAAAAAAGTAAAGCAGTAAAATACTTATGTCAATTAAGTTTTATAGTATCAACTATAGAAGAGAAGATTCTCTTGCTAGAAGATACATAGACACTGTTAGAGCTTGTCCAGATATTGGTAGTGTAAGGCCTCCGAAAACTAGCATAGGAGGTTCATGCATCAGTCTGATGGTTTGTTTCCACATGTGCAACATGAAAGTGGGAGCCGAGAGGCTGTTAGAGCTTGACCAATATCATTACTGTGAGACATAAACTTGCATATGAAACTTGCGGACCTGTTCACTCATCCGTAATTAATTTTTAACCAGAATATTTAATACGTAAGGATAATTGATTGCATCCTCAATTGGGTGTCTGAAGCCTCATCTATGAAAACTTAGCTCATTTCTGTAACATGTTGAGTATGTCTGGTGAAAACCAGAGTTGCAAAATCTACACATATATACTCATGATTGTCGCTCTTAAACTATTCATTAGCAAAACTTCTCCCAATAAAAGAAATTAAGAGAAAAAAAAGTGGCTACAGTGATGGGGCAACTGTAAGACAAAAGCTCCACAAACACCTATTTCTTAAGGCCATATTTCTTTCTTTTTTGAAAAAAAAAATCTTTCAAGCAGGGCAGGGCAGGGCATTCCAAAATAAGACTATCTGTCATTGTGGAATTTGCAGCGTCGTAAGACATGTATTTTAATTTTGTTCTGATTTAGTTGCCTCTCTCATAGAGGCTAACCTAGTTGCTAACCATGTATAAATATTCCAAGGAGGACCCTAACTCCTAATAGTTCAGTCAAATTTTATCATAGCACGTTAAGATCACAAGAAATAAGAGGCTTATAAGCATCAAAGTCACTCTTATTCACTATTTTACCATTAAATGGTATGAACTTAATGAAGCAGAGAGAAGAAGATTAGCCAACCTTCGCTTTTGCCTACAACTTATCCACAGACACAACATACTGCTTCAATGTATAATCTTTGAATTACCTAGAGCAGCCACCATCGCCTATTTACCAACTCTGGACAGATCCATGGCATAGAAGAGGGAGAGTCACTTGGATGGGAATTTCGCTGCATTGTTATTAATATGCTGCAATTTCGCTCTCTTTTGTCGATGAACCTAATATTTAATATAAATTAACACATGAATTCCACATAGAACAATAAAATGAACATATTTGTATTTCTAATAACACAAATTCCATACAAATAGAAAACCCAACAAGCACAAAAAATCCATCAAACTCAAACCAAACATAAAACCCATCAAGCAAAGATATTTAACTAACAAGAAAAGATACTGGTCAACAAATTCATGTAATATTTGAGCTACTATTCCATTTATTGACTCACCTGACCGAATGAAGATGCTCTAGAATGACCTCAACACTCTGTGTCTCACACTGCTGGACTTCTTGACTCACTCATCATCGATGATCGATGAGAGTTTATATTATGAGTACTAGATGCATTAGGTATCTTTTAAGATTGCAAATACTTAATATTCATGGAGAAAAATAATACAATAACTATTCTAACTCAAAATATAAGTCGCTGAAGTTTTTATTACCTTTTCAACCTGAAGTGGATCTGTATTTTTGTGAACTGGTTCGGGAATAGACATACCCATTGCACGCATTTGAACAAGAAAAACCTCAAACTGTCTTTGTTGAGCCTCAAACTTAGCTTCCATCTGACTCATTTGCTTCTTGATTTGTGCCTGTTGAGTCTTCATCTCTAACTGCTTAGCCTCCATCTCTGCCTTATGTCTACTCAATTGCTCATCTAGTTGGGACTGCATTGCTTGCATCTCTTCTGATTTTTTATGTCCAGACACATCTCTCGGAGATGGTCCAAAACCATATGTTCTAACACGTCCAGGTTGCTCCGGTCCCATGACTTGAGTGAAAACTTCATCTACTGCAGATGAAGATTGCATAGAAGACTCTGGCATTTGTGATACGAGTTCATCCATGTCTGACTGCAAACAAGCTTGTTGGATAAGAGAACTCGATTGAGGATTTAAATGTTCCAACCTGAGAATGTAGGCACAATTTATTTATTATGGTATCCCGAAAACTGGTCTACATGCTATGAAGCAAATACACATACGGGAAGCAGATGCAACCCGACACAAACAAGTTGAACACGACAAATCCTAGAAATATAGGACACGGGCTGATGTAGGAATGGAAGAAGAAGAAATCAGAAAATAGAAAAAGGAGAAGAAAGAAGAAGTGCGGAAGGGATTTACCTCATCCTCGCAAGGAATCAGTCAAGAAACCCTCAAATCTTCATAGAGAATCCTCAATTCTTATTCAGAATCTCTTTCTCTAATGAAAATAGTAGGGATACATCAATATTCATGTGAGATAGATTATGAATAAGAATTGAGTATTCTTAGCGGAAACTTACGTATTTCTTGACCGATTCCTTTCGAGGATGAGGTAAATCTCTTCCGCCATTCTTTTTTCTTCTTCTCTCTATTTTCTAATTTCTTTTTCTTCCCATCCTGCATTAGTCAGGCTCCAACCACAACCTTAAGCTTCTCTTCAATGCCAATAATTACAATCCCAAAAATTCCCCTACTACCAAATAGGTAACCATAAAGACACATAGACAGACAAGATTGGTGCTAATGGTAGCCTATCTGGGAAACCGAACACGGGCTCAAGCTGGATTAAAGACAAAGCAACAGGGAGTGGACTATTGCCCAAAAAACCAGTAAAATTACTTACAAAGGAAGTGAATCCGCTACGTTGGAGAGATAGTATCTAACAGAATGAAGGTCAGAAATTTCACACTTCTAGCGCACCCACAAAAAAAAAAAAAATAAAGAGTAGCCACCAGATTGACCACAAACAACTTTAAGGCATACAACCTTCCCAAGTCCCAAGATCAACCAAATATTTCGGCAGTACATTCCCATAGATCAATAAAAACGTACACAAAATAAAATAGAAATTATATTGTACCTGATGTTATTTTTTCGGATATCCTCTGCTACTAGACATTCAAAATCAGAAATCATTTTTGACAGCCCATGTACAAGAACATTTACTGTTTCCATTTGCTTCTTGTGTTCCTTTTCCTTGACTTCAACCAATAATAAAATGCTTTGCTTCTCTTGGGTAAGGGTGAGGATAACCTTTTTTTGTTGATTAGCTTCCTTTAACTCCTCCATTGCTTGTTCAAGCTTTTGATTCAATTTGTCTATTTCCACATTATGTACTTCATTTTGTTCCAATGCTTCTTCCAATTGACTCTTCAGCAAATCTAATTCCTTATTGCTTTCGGATATTATTGTTTGCTGTTGGCTTGCATAGCATCTTAAATTATTAAGCTCCTGAGAAGCTAGTTCCAACTGCTCCCCTTGTTTCAGCAAGGTAGCTGATAATTCCGACACACACTTCTCTTTTTCTTTCATAGACATTTCCGGTAAAAGTAACTCTTGCTTCAATCCTTCCATTTCTGTAACTTCCAACCTTAATTCATTTACAATTTCCAATGCTTTTCTTTCAAGGGAAACTCGACTTATATATTCAATCAAATATTCCCTGTACAATTCCTCAAGTTTGCCCTCAGCATCCTTCGTGACTTTTCCAAACTCAACTCCCAAGACCTCCTGCACGATAGATAATTCCATATCTGAATTTTCAAAATGTAAAATATACATTTTTATAAAACATAACGATATATAAGTACAAAAAATTAATATAAAAAATTGAATATCCTTCCTCAACCAGTAAAATCTGAAAAAAAAATAAAATTAGTGTTACTATGCTGAACTAATATTTATATACTTATATATAATAAATAATTAAAATAAATTAAAATATACATCAATAGAAGGTCACACAATATTTCTCTGAACGACTTGTCTAATTATATAAATAATATATAAACGAGTCATATCGTATATATTTCTTCTAATTAGTTTCACCAATACTTGATTCGTTTATAATCGTATCGTGATGAAATTTTTTTTAATTCCATAATTTTATCTAAAAGAAAAAAAAACTCCTCCCATTAAAATAGAAATTATATCACTCATATTTCCTACCATTTAATTTTTCATTCATCTGACCAAAAACAATCTTTCATGCATCCTAACAAACATATGATAAATGTGGTTTATAGAAGACTCAAACCCACTAATTTTATACCGTGTTAATGGGTCCTGTCATATTTTGACACCCCTAGTTTTGATATAAAAGCTTGACTTTGTAGAGTTTAATTTTTTTTCTTTGAAGTATAAATTGTCTTTTGATGTTAAATTATGTAATTTTATAAAATCTTACTTATAATATGAAAAATAGTTGTGGTCAATACAATTTTTTTTAGAGTTTTTCTTCTTTAAACTATAAACTGTTTTTTAATCTAAAACAACATTTTAATGTTTTATGAAATATTATATACGACGAGAAAAATAGTTGCCATAAATATAAATTTTTTTTTTGAATTTATAAAATATTATTTGAGGCAGAAAAAACAACTATCTCAAATACAAAAATTTCTTTTAAATTTATGGAAGAAAAAATTGTTGCCACAAATATTAACACATACACACTTTTTGTGATGGCAAACACAGTTACCACAAAAAATTATCTCAAATTCATCTTTTGAGAAGGCGAATACAATTGTTGTAAAAAATTTGTCACAAAAGACCTTTATTTTTGTAGTGATTGTAATCTNATGGCAAACACAGTTACCACAAAAAATTATCTCAAATTCATCTTTTGAGAAGGCGAATACAATTGTTGATTTTTTAAACAGTGTTTTCTGGAAATAAAAACATCACTAACATTAGATTACCCTTTTTATTTTCGAGAAGAGAGACATTCTATAATGGAATAAGGTTTCTATGACTTACTTCTCTTAATCCCCTTGTAAATCAAATTTTTGTGTGCAAGATATAATCATTTTCTTCTTACTTTTCAGTTGTTACATGACTATATAATGTTTAGTTTGGTGGTTGGTCAATAGTCACAATACTCAAATAAATCCTCCTTCATCTCTAAAGCATTTTTTGTGAGAGAAAATTATTTCAATCATGCGTCGCTTTTGATTCAGCGGTGCGATCCAAGTCACAGACAATCACCCAAAGTTAATAGCGAACATGTAAAAAGAAAAAAAAAAAAATTTAACTCCTCCATCAAAAAAAGTTAAAAAAAGAAAAAGCAGCATGTAAGCTTTTTGACCTGTGAAAACAAAAAAACAGAAACCTAGTATAACTACTTTGGAAAAAGCATGAACCTTTGGTACCATTATGTGCGTTGCTGGGCATCCTATGTTTCTTTTATGACGTGGATGGAAGGAAGGAAGGAAGGAAAAAGTTGTCTAACAAAATCGTCCCTCTCTTACTTTTTGAGATGGGGGAGGGTGAAAATTGTCTCATGTTAACTTCTAGGCGAAGATTGATTTCGGTAAGATACCATATTTATAACTAATTATTGTGCGAAGACACGCAATAATAAAAAATAAAAAATAAAAAATAAAAAATATATTTATATTCATATTCAAAATCAAATTATAAATATAAATAAGAGATAAAAAAATTTAAATATCGATTTATAGTAGTGGTGAGAGATGGTCGATGACAGTAGTTATGCTAAGAGATGGTGATGGTTATGATGAGTGACAATAACCGTAGTGGTGATGGTAGTGGTGGCGTTGGTTGCGACAACGGTGGTGATGGCATTGGTGGTGGGAGAGGCGGCGACAACGACGACGACAATGGGGGTGGTGGAGGCAGTGGCGGTGGTGGTGGCGGCAACGACAATGGCGATGACGGTGGCGACAGTGGTGGCGTTAGTGGTGGTGGTGGTAGAAATAGTGGTGAGACAGTTTCAAACACTTTTTTTTTTTAAGTATTTATGAGAAATAATTTCTAAAAGTACTTTTAAAATGTTACTCTAAACACACCATTTGAGACTTATTTTTCCTATTAAATTTAGGGTGTTAATATTAGTCGTTAGATTAATTTTAAAGTAAAATTTAAAGCAATCTCAACTTCGAATAGGAAAAATTATTTTGTTTATTTATTAAGATTTGAATTGTAAACTACTTTATTATATAAATTTTTTGGATTAATTACATTAGAGATTCTCAAAATATGGAGTTTGTCTCATTTTGGTTCATAATATTTCAATTGTACTATTTTAGTATCTGAATTATTGAATATGTTTCTATGTGGTCCCTCAAACAGACAGAGTCCAAATTGTTAACGATTTTTTATTATAAACTTGTCACGTAATACCTAAATATGAACAAAAAAATAATTTAGATAACTCTTAACCAAATTTCTATCCAAATTTTGCTTAAAGAGCAATTCAAATTACACAGTTTTGATTATGAGCAATATGAATGTTGTCTAATTGAGAGACTACATAGAAACATATTTAATACTTTAAGGATTAAAATGATACAATTAAAATATTATGACCAAAATAAGACAAACCCCGTACTTCAAGGTCTTCTAGTTCAATTAATCCAAATTTTTTCAAGTTAAACTATATTTTTTGTTGTGGTAAAAGTAATAACTAAAAAAATGATAAAAGTTATAATTTTTAAAAGTAAAATTTCTATTTTTTGAGGATAAATTACTCTTTTTAAAAGTGAAGTTTCAAGGGACATTCATGATCAATTTATGATAGATCATGAGATTACCCCAAATAATTATAACTTCATATTTAAGTGGTATAACTTGATTAAAAAAATAATATTTTGCAGTGTGGTACTATTTTTTTTTTGGGTATTGTAAAATTACCCTAACTTAAAAAGAACATGAGAGTTAATTGATCACGTGACACTTCAATTGACAAAGGATAAAGCTATGACATCACAGACATACCATTTTAAAATTGTTCCCTTGTGGTTGATTTTAGTTTGGTGATTTGCAACCATTGATTAAGTAAATAAAAAAAAAAAAAAATCCATATGTAACATATTTTTAATTGATGAAAAGCGGAGATATTACACTTAAAAATTATTTTTTTCTTACCAATAGTTGGCCCAGTGACATAGGGCTCCTACCTTCACCACAAAGTAAGACAATCATCTGCCCCATCCTTCACTTTTCAAGTACAGCATTCTTTTAGCTCATCATATTCCANTAGGGCTCCTACCTTCACCACAAAGTAAGACAATCATCTGCCCCATCCTTCACTTTTCAAGTTCAGCATTCTTTTAGCTCATCATATTCCATCTCCGTAAGGCCAAAACATGGTTAAAGATGTTGAAGGAAAACATAAAAATAAAGTACAATAAAATTTCAGTTCAAAAAAAACAAAAAATATAATAAATTTAGACAAAATTACAATCGAAGTAAGTCAAGTTAAATTACTACTCAACAAATTTTAAAATTNAAAAAATATAATAAATTTAGAAAAAATTACAATCGAAGTAAGTCAAGTTAAATTACTACTCAACAAATTTTAAAATTTTGAAATCAATCATATAAAGTCGAGATCAATACCAAGTTTTTTAAATTGATCATAAGTCATAACTCAATCCTATTAAGTTAAAACTCAATTGTTCTAACTTTAATACGGTTAAAATATTTTAATTAAAAGAGTGTTTTTTTATGTGGGAGCTCAATCCTATATCAATTAACATCCAAAGATACTTGAGTATATACATATACTAGTGTTATCTAACATTTGAATCAAAGAGAGGTCTTGAGACTCTCGCGTGCGCAGGTGTGGGACTAACGGAGGAGCACTAAGTGAAATAAAATACTAACTAGTATTAAACCCACTTTTTAATATTTTGTTTAATTATTTTCTGTAATTATTTCTATAATAAAATTTCAGTTGCTGAATACCAAAAACCTCCAATGGCTAGTATTCCAACAGTCATATTTTCTGAGTTATTATCCAATTAAATATATAAATAATTACAGCCTATTAAACACATATATTATATATACATATTTTTAGTATAGAGATATACAATATATATCATATCAACTTTCTTCTTACAATANAACACATATATTATATATACATATTTTTAGTATAGAGATATACAATATATATCATATCAACTTTCTTCTTACAATATAAGTTTCTGAGTAATATTCAAAGGTGTGTGTAAAACTTCTGCTTCATACGATTGGGCAGATTTGAGTGAAGCAACAGTCAATAGACTGAACTGTTTTATCCTGAGGACAACGCGCTACTACCTTCTACCTTCTGCTCTGTGATTCTTTCTTAAAGGGGTGTGAATCATCTTAAGAGAGCGACTTACCTTATGCGCTGTGATTATTTCATAAAGGGGAGCGAATCATCTTAAGTGAGCGACCTAGTCCGCGCCTCACCTTGCCGTTCACTTTATTTGCATCCAATTTTTTTCAACAAATATCGTACCAGAAAAGTTCGGTCAAAAATCCCAATTCATTAACATAATCGATAATTAGCATCAAATAGATTGATCCATGGCATCGTAGGGTGCAATTGTTTTTCTAGTGCTGCTTTGATGTTATCCCATAGGGAGCCTTACCACCCAATAAGCTACTGGGCTCTACCATGAAAGTAACTGAGAGCCCTCAAAATTATGAAGTTGCATGCATAGAGAAAGTAGTGTCCACATGAATTGGTGTAAAAGACAGAATATTATTTTTAGATTGCTAGGCAGGAAAAGAGATTTACATTATCTTCCTGTTCAATTTGGTCTCTGACTCATTTAAGATGGTGCCACAATTATAGAATATGCAGTAGTTATAGCCTGCTGGGCAAGAACTGCACATGAGACGTAACTTCTCTTCTAATCTGGTCTCTTCTCAATTTTCCAGTTGATGTGAATGGAAATGGGTACCTCCATAAGATAAAACTTTTGGGTATTTTGAACCTGCAAAAATGAGAAGAAGATANTCTGGTCTCTTCTCAATTTTCCAGTTGATGTGAATGGAAATGGGTACCTCCATAAGATAAAACTTTTGGGTATTTTGAACCTGCAAAAATGAGAAGAAGATAATGTCAATATGCATAAGGAGCAAATGAGAGAGAGAGAGAGAGAGAGAGAGAGAGAGATCCAATGTCATAAATTAAGAGGAGAAATACCCAGTCAAATTCTTTTCTCTACAAAAGTTCTGGAGGATCTCACTTGACAAGCTTAGGTCTTTGTTTTCAGCTGGGTGATCAGAACTCAAATCAGCCCACTGCCAATTGTCTTTTAATTGAATACAAGCAACTACCATCTCTGTCAAACGAGGGTCTGGAAGTCCAACAACAACAATGCCAGAAACACCTGGATGTTGAGACAGGACAGCCTCTACCTACATCACCAAAAATTCGCTTAACAATGAGTTTCCAGATCATAGTGTAAACTAGAGATTAAAGGGGTTCCCCCGCAAACCCCCATTTGTACTACTTTATTTTGGGGGCAGGCACCCCCAAGCTGATAATAAAGAAAATGTCTAATACGGTGGTATGCGAGGAGCAAGACAATATGTAATCATAAAGATGAAGTGTAGACAAATTTTAAAAGTTTTCTCCAAAATGAATATTCAGCCCAATAACTTTTTCATTTGTTTTTTTAATAAAATGACATAGAATATAGAATCGCAGGTTCCCGTTAGCCATCATCCCTTCAATCGGCCCATCCAAAGGACATGTGATTGGGAGGGTTATTGGTTGCAGTAAAATAAAGCATACAGGTTATTTTTGCATGCTCACCTCTTCAGGGTAAACATTCTCACCACCACTCTTGATTCGACCTTTAGTACGTCCAAAGAGCAATACATTACCATTATCATCTATCTGCCCTATATCACCTGTATCAAGCCAACCTGCATCACTAGGATTGGAAGCTCTGGTTGAAATTTGACCCCAATACCCGAGCATCACATGGGGGCCCCTCGTTAATATCCTCCCAACATGAGAAGAATCCTCGACAACCACCTTTAATTCAATATGTGGTGCAGGTTTTCCAACACACACACACGCTGGTTGATTAACTATACTGGATCTCTTATCACTATTAAGTTGAAAGGATTGGCCAGAGTTATTGCTTGTTGGGTCGTAGAGGGTCTTGAAAGTTAGAGAAGAACATGCCTCTGTCATGCCTGTAGAAATTGAAATAAAATCAGAGTGCAGAGTCAGAAGAAGACCAACAGATTAACACTATATGGAAAAAAACTTCACACGATATCCATGAATACTAACTGAAAGCTAAGCCAAGTGCTGGGTTTCTTAAGTTGACATTATTTGAGTTGGATTGGTTCAAGATCAAGCAGAGCTGTGTAAATTAAGCAGGCTCAATCTCACTCGTGAGCCTAAAAGGGTTGTATCACTATACCCTTAAATATATAAAACCCTAAATTTGAAGAAATCTTGCATTTTGAACTCTTAATTTGAGGAGAATTAGATCATCATCCAGTAGAAAGAGAGAATAACAGAACATAAAATCAAAATGAGCTTTCTACGATTCTGATCAATACAGATAGATTTAATACTTCAAATGTCAACTTTCCATGGTATGCTGCCAACCTCTTCTCTACTCAAAATGCCTATGAAAAATCAGTTTTGCTCAAATCAGGGGCTTTAAGGCATTGGTCTGGTACCTAAGTTTGTGCTCTGCTTGTTTGGCTCGTGAACAAAATAAACAAGTTGAACTTCAACCCTGTACTGTTATGAGTAGCTTATCAATTTACCAACCTCAAAAGCTCAAAATTTATCATCAAATCAATGGATCGCATGAAGCGAATAAATGACTCTGCATGGTAGGAGCTCAACAGAACAAATTTGAGGTTGAGCAAATTGCTCAGCTTATACATTGAAGACTTAAGAGGTAGAATCCAACAGAATACCAACAATAAATCTGAAAGAAATAGTTAATACATCAGGTCCTGCTTTCACCTTCATCATTTTCTCCAAAAGGACCTCTATATTCACGTGGTAGGATAATGTTTTCTTTTTTCCTCGTGGGCATTATGGTCTAGTGCTGTTATTTTAGAAGCAATATTTCTTCTGCTTCCAAATGCACAAAATTGCACAGACTAACAAGTTCAACACAGATTTAACTCCATTAGTAGGAGAAACCCACCATAAGCTGAAAGAAGTTTGGCTCTCGGGAAAACTTCAGTGGCAGCTTTGATAAGCTCGACTGAGAGACCTCCACCTCCATTCAAAATCTTTTTCACTGTTTCTAATCCGTTCCATGTTTCCTTGGTCCTGTAAAAAGAAAAAGATGGGCGTAAACAATATGATGCTAAGATATTCAAGCGGGGAGAGTTGACGAAGAAACAGTAGTAGTCTGCCAAAGTTGCTGCCTTAATGATCCAGCCACAAATTGAGGGGTGCCAATTTTCGACACGATATGTTAACCTGATTTTGAAATTAGTAGTAGCTTAGAGTTGACTAGTTCTAGACATGAATCCAAAAATGATACGACCTACTACCTCAAATAATAGACAGGTCAGATTAGTGTCAAACACGAATAGCACCATTTTGACCTGACAACACGTTTCCTGGTATAATCTAGAGAATTAGTTCTGATGTATATAAGTTTTTTGCAATTTCTTGATTCGTTATTGTCTGAGACTCTATATAATTACAGACACTCCGCTTTGTTTTGAGACCATTTGGATCTTGTAGATTATTACTTTATGGAAAACATTTCAGTGGTTTGTTGGTTGAAGAAAAGGAAGTCTTAAACTCTTAATTGTGGAATTCTAGTTCACGGGGTATGAGTGGCAACCTAAACTTTGATTAATAAATATGTCGAATCAGTGTCAGATCATCAGACGCAATTGATTAAGTAGGTCAGGTTATGGCTGACTAATAGTTGACACAAATCCAAAATGACACAACCAACGTGACTTGACTGTCAGCCCTGGACAAAAATGGCCAACTACGTTTAAGTAGCAATAAAAAACATCCTCCCATCTTCCTATGAAATGTTAAGGCATGGGTTGTTAAGTTAGCAGCATTCTTCAACCTAACACCTGAACTATCCCTCGCCAATAACAAGCACAGCAGAATGTTGTCTGCTAGCATAGATTTACTGTATGACTACTAAAATAAATTTGTTTGTGCTATTCACCTTCTTTTTTCTTTCAGGAGCAATAATCCAACAAGAAGGTTATCTGAACAAATCCTATTTGGAAGTCTCCTTGTGTGCTAGTCCTCAAAATTGAAGAGATCATATGGTTTACCTAATTAGTGAGATTAAATCAGCCATTATTGTAGGGACAGTGATCAGAGAAGTCACATGGTGTTGCTCTATGGCTTCAAGTGCTGATTTAGCCTCAAATTTTGGCATCAAGATATGGCAACCTCCTACCATTAGCACAGCCATTGCTGATGAAATTCCACCAATGTGGCACAATGGAGCTGTATGCAAATAAACCTGCAAGAAAACCATGCAACAAAGAAGAAGAAACAAAAAGATGTCAATTTCTCTCGAGCTATATCTGCAGCCAACTGTGCTTTCTCTTAGAATCTAACTGTTTCCATCCCGAAGTCTATTAATTCCGTAATTTTTTTGCTTATGTTGACATTCTCTTGCAACTTGTAAAATGGAGCAACAAAGAAACCAAAACAAGAAGAGTTTTCATGAAAGGCATACATCATCCTCACTGTAACCAACAATTGCAATTTTTGCTAGGGATTGTACAATTAAAGCAGAATGGCTTATGACAACTCCCTTAGGCCTTCCAGTGGTTCCTAAAAATTACGGAAATTAAGTAAGAAGCTCAAGCAAAATTTTTAGCCTAGTACAGATTTTCGAAGTAATTAAAGAAATCATTTTGAGTCATGTTTCTACTTAGAGAAACTAAGTAAGAAGATCAAGCAAAACATTATTGTTCTAGCAGAGATATCCTAAGCAATTAAATGAATTGTTATGAGCAAATTGAAACATGACTCTCTGTATAGTTTCACATAAGACCAAAAACCATATCCACAGAGCGCAAACCTTTGTTGTGAAGATTTTAGTTTCAGAGTTAAACTCATTCCCTCTCGCTGTTTGTAGAAGTTAGCAAGATTGATTTGGAGGGTTTTGATAAGGCGTTGTTCTTGATTTATGGCTCTGGAATTCAAATTATGCCTAATGCATACTTGATCAAATAAACCTTGGCTACTGGTTTATGTAGGTAGCCCCTGTTTCTTCAGACAAGGACCATCCTTTGTTTACACCCTAAACTTAGAATTTGCTTATTATTGTACAGTGCATATGCATACATAAGAAATGGGGAAACAAAGAGTCTTTCCATTATCAGGTGCATTTCTCATCTGCGAAAAAAATAGTAGATTTACTTAGACTTAAGAATAATTTGGTGTTCAAAGTTCTTCAAAGTTATATATTCTGCAATGAACTTTCTCAACTTTTACTTAGAGTTAAGAATAGTTTGGTTCCCACATTTCTCTCCCACAAAAACAACAAAGCCCACCTCAAACAAACAAGAAAAAAAATCCAACAAAAGGGAGAATTTAGATCAAGGTAACATAAAACCGAAAAACAAAAACTCATACCTGAGGTGAAGCATATTAAAGTGGCACCCTCAGGACCCCAAATGTAATTGACTGATAAAGATCTTTCAGAAGGCTTCTTAAGCGATTCAGTAGTTAATACTGACAATATGGCAACACCAACATGAAAATTTTCAACACACTAAGAAAAGAAATGGCTTTAACAAAATTTCAAAGATAATGCTAATTAAGTAAATTCCAGTAGAAGTGCATACTGTTTGATGAGCTACTGAATGCTGTAGAGCCATCCATTAAGACATGCCACCTCAGAAAAAGTAGAGAATCAGTCTGGAACTTTGAATGCCAGTAACTAGTACTCTTGTCAGTCACCAACAATATTGGTCTCACTAATTCCATTGCCAATGTTGCCTCTTCCAAGCTCTGAAAGCTAAAATGGGTTACTACTAGTTACTGCTATATGTAACATATTATTTGTTAGAATAAAATTAAGTTTTTAAAATTTTTATTGAATTGTGAATTTCAGTTACATATTTTTTAATTGACTTTAAATATTGAATTTTAGTAATTGCAGATTTTATTTCATATGTTACACAACTTTAGTGGCAATTCAAATGAGCCATTTAAGACATAACGGTAATATTCTAAATGTCTTTAATTTGGCTAGTAAATTCTATTTAGACCCTAATTGTCCAGCTTTTGTCAAATCCATTTCAACTACAACCACATCATATTTTCTTGTGTTTTGGGCAACTCGATTAGTGTCAAGTTTACTCTTTCCTTCCACTGAACGTGACCATTGAGAAGGTGCTGCTGCGAGCATCTGGGTTGGATCTTGAAATCGCTAGTGTCCGTCAGTACCCTCACGTGGGAAGGCTCAGCTGCTTTAGTACAGTGATCACACACGCCTCTCGGACTCGCAGACCAACACTTTCCAAATTAATTTATTTGGTTTATATAGATTACATGTTTATACATTTCCTGTATTTATTTAAATTGCATGTTATATTTTTAATGTTCTAACTACTATTTTTATGNACATGTTTATACATTTCCTGTATTTATTTAAATTGCATGTTATATTTTTAATGTTCTAACTACTGTTTTTATGCTTTATTTCGAATTTTAGATTACAACACTCATAGTTATTTTGTTCACATCATAATTCTAATAATTGTTGATTTGGCCAAAAGTTTAGTAACAATTTCTCTTAATTCCAATTATAAATCTATACTTAAAATATATAATTAATTTTACATTATCTGGCAGTCAGTCATATTGGTTATTGTAAGTGTGTTTGAAAAGAAGCTGGGTGATGATATCGTGATTTAAATTGTCTAATTTGGCTAGTTTCGGGTGTGGTTAGATCTCTTCATCTTACGAGGACAGTTGATTTCTAGTAAGTAAACAAATTTCAACCTTTTTTTCACCACATGAATGGAAATCCCAAGTTGGCTACGCCATGTCTATGCTTCCTATTTTTATAGTTTGGGAACTCTAGAAGGAAGGCAATAGCAAGAAATTAGAAAATGAAATATTAAACAAAGAATGGCTATTATAATAAAAAAAGCAGGCAGAGTCATATATTTATTACTTGGAAACTCTTCATCAGATGGAGATATGAACAACTAAAAACTTCAAAGCAACAAACAGAGTTCATTCCTTCCTTGGACATACCAAGTAGCCCATATACTTTTGAAATGTGCTCAAGCCCCAGGGATGATCAAGGGGCACAAAGACACTCAAATCTAATTTTAGGAATTATCAATCAGTTCTTGTTTGAATGCCATGCAATTAATGGATGAATAAATATTACTTGAAACAAAAAGGATAGCAAAATCTGGGGATCATATTACTTACCCATCGGAAATTGAGTGGAGCAGCTATTCCTCCAACAGATGCAACAGCCAGCAACCACTCCATATACAAATCACTGAAACGGAACTGAATGAGTAAGCAGTAATATACACATAACGTACAATGTAACCAAGTATAAACTACTAAAATTGTTCATGTCCAATACAGGAGTAATTGTCAGTCTGTTAGCATGCCAACGATTGTTTAAAAAGTCAAAGTCCTGAAAATCAAGTTTCATTTTTTTTTTCAAATTACCATTATTTTTCGGATCATCTCATATTTTGCCAACGGTCAACGGAAATAACTGCTAATGTACGACTTAAAAACCAGAGGTAAGGACTAAGGCCTATCAACAAGAGTAGCATTGTACCAGAGAGAGTCAAATTTGAGCTAAGAACACTGAATACTGGATGAGAGAGGCGCAAGTTAGCAGGAACCTGTTGAGAGCAGAGATGGCGACGACGTCTCCGGGCTTGAGGCCTAAATCGACAAGCCCACGGGCCAGGCCCAACACTCCCTCCACGAACTGCTCACCTGTCTTTCGCCGGTTACCAAAAATCGTGACCGGCGAATTACGCCGGAGAGTTGCTAGGCGGCTCAAGCTCTGGCAAATGTGGGCCACTGAGTAATGACCCATTTCTTTGGAGGGCAAAATGGTAAGCCGGTTGTGGTCTTCTTTGCTTATTCAACGGGGAGAGCGAGAGAGAGAGAGAGAGAGAGAGAGCTCTTTGCCTATCTGGTTGGAAAGGGAGACTTGAAAGCGCGGGAGTAGGCGTTTAGTTATCCTATTATCCAGTTACAGGATAAGGTGGAGTTGCTGGCAGGGTCGGTAATGGGTGGTCTTACGCGGCATGTGTTTAGGAAATGGGAAACTTATACTTTGACCCACTTAACTATACATTTGATTTTATTTTATCCCTTAAACTATTGAAGTTTATTCACATTATCTCCTCAACTAATCAAATTACTTCACATTGCCTCAAACCCAAATCTCTACTATCTTTTTGGACCGAAATTGTTAACGGCCCGGACAAAGTGAAAAAATTACATAGTTTGAAAGCAATATAGAAAAATTTTTGGTCAAATTTATTACAAAATTAATAATTAAGGCGATGTGAAACTAACACATAATTAAAGGTTCAATATAAAAATTTGATCTTAAAAATTTTTACTTTATTTATCTGCCCATAGGATGGACGAAAGTAGGCTCGTAAGATCCCATTTTTTCATTTAAATATGAATTATATTACCTTACTAGTATTTCTAAAATTATGATGGTAGCTTCGAATTGTTTTTAAAATAATAATTATGGAATTTGAGTTTTGCGCATATTAACTTTTGGGTCAATTAATTTTGGAAGCGTTTAAGTTTAATAAAAGTAACTGGGTAAATTCATAAAAAAATTTATGGCAAACTAACATTATTATTGAATTTAGGAGGTCAAAAAATTTTGGGATAAAAGTTCACCTTGTACACTAGTTGAGGTGTAAATTGATATTTTTAGTGTTTCGGGTGTAACTCGAATTTGATTTTGAGATAATTTATAAAACTAAATTGTTTTAGGTTAAGATACCATTAAAAATGAATCCGAAAAGTAAAAAAAACCCTAGGGTGGACCTTTGGTGTCAATTTGAAATGGTTAGGGATAAAACCGAAATTTTGGGCTAATAATGCAGTTTTGGCCTACTACCTGCACTTGTTAAAAAAAAAAAAAAAGAACAGTAACCTGCAGGATTTTCTCGGCATATAATTCCATTCTTACCCCCAATTTTTCTCACACCTCTCACCCAATAGCACTCTTAGAACCCTAGAACTAAGGCGCACCTCTCACCCAATAGCACTCTTAGAACCCTAGAACTAAGGCGAGAGAAAGAGAAGAGGAAAAAAGACAACTTGGCTTATAATTCTTGTTCGTAGGCATGATTTTTCTCTATTTTGTATTTAACTGAAACTTAATATATGTTGAAAGACTAAATACTTGTTACAAAGCTTGTTTTAATGTTGGGGTATGCCATAAATTTGTGAACTTACAAGCATAAAGACAATTTTGGTATTATTGGTTTGAAACCCAAGTTTGATTCTAGTTATGAGTATTTGATTAAACTTATGATTTGAGATTTTTGAGCATGCTATGATATTGCACTTAATCGGCTCANTTGGTTTGAAACCCAAGTTTGATTCTAGTTATGAGTATTTGATTAAACTTATGATTTAAGATTTTTGAGCATGCTATGATATTGCACTTAATCGGCTCATTTGATATACGTATTATGAGGGAATTAAATATTAGATTGTACTATTTTTTATTTAATTGGGTCTAATACTTTGTTTGCTAAACAAATTTGATATCGTATTAATTTCAAAAACATATATTAATCGTATACTTATCTTATATTTTTTGTATGATAGACATGTATTATGGAGGTCTTTTAATACTACAAAGATATGTGGTATTATAATTTAACTCAAGCATATTATTCTACACATTTACTATTGTAACCTCCCAAGTGATAAAATTAAGTTGTCATCAATATAACAAATAATAATTTACAGTATTTTTTTTAATTCAACATTAATACTATAAAATAATTTTATAACCAAACAACCAATTGGATTAAATAGCTACTATCCAACACTTATATTATGTATTGTCAAACACTAGATGAAATTATGTATTATTCTAATACCATATTTATTCTTGTTTTTTATTCATCTGTATTGTATTAGATGATATTACTTTATCCAATCCATTCATTTTTAATACGACAACCAAACGAGCCTAAATGTATATGACTTATTCTCATGGAAATAGTTGTATTGTTTTGCAAATGCAAATCTTGATATTATACACCTACTATATGTTTAATAAAATGCCAAGATTGTGACATGGGTTTTCAAAAGGGTTTATGCATATGTAAAATGATGATTTTTCAAAATTATATGCTCGATACCGACACACAGATTGTCAGTAGATGGTTGGGGTCCATTGATGGGGTTGTCGACGCAGCTACCAATCCTAGAGGAATTAGTGATGATAATGATTTTCAGTGATGACATGTGTAGCGTCAGAAGTACGCAACCCCCCTTAAAAAACAAAAAGACCGATAAGAGCCAAAGGTGCAAGATTTAAAAAGTTCTATGTGAATGGTTCATTAGTAAATCGATGTTTGATTAATTGTATTATCCATATGGGTCATATGCATAGTATTTGATATAATGGGTGATTTTCACAATTGCTCTATTTATTACCTTGTATGTATTCCTTACTATTTGTATGATTTGCAAAATATTGGTATTTAAAACTTGGATTAATTGCGGCTATGGTCCCTAAAGTATTTATGTTGTCTCATTTTGGTCCCCAACCTTCTAATTTCATCAAATTGGTCCCCAAAGTACTACATTTGCACTTACCTAGTCCCCGTAGTTGAAGCCGTCCAGATTTTCATCTATTCATAGTCATGTGCCATCCACATGACCCAGTTGAGGGGCTATAATGTCATTTACCCTCCTCCTATTATTGGAGGGAAACATTCCCTCCATCAGGTATATCTACAAGACCCATTATCTGTTACAGAGCATAGGAGAAGAGAAAATGAGGGGAAGGGAAGGAAAGGTAGTATCGGCTGGAATGCTAGCAACACTATGCCGTTGTAGAAAAATAGCCAAACTGAGGACCTCATGGACCGATACCAACCCAGGAAGAAGGTTCATTGGATGTGAAAGATATGAGGTAACAAAATGTTCTGGATTTTGTTACTAAGTTTTCTATTTTGAATGCATTTAACAAAATGTTGCATTTGTAGGAGGCTGGAGGGTGTGGATTTTTTGCTTGGTTTGATCCGCCAATGTACGATAGAGCGAAACAAGTGATACCCAGATTGTTGCGATCAAAGCAAAGACAGGAGAACCAACAACGAAAAGCAAAAGTTAGGGAAAAATTATTATGGGTTGCTCTGTTCTGTTCATGGACATTTTTTATTTTCACTTGGGTGTGGCATTTCCTGTAGGTAGTAGTGCCCTGTTTGTCTGTGGAGGGTGCCCTGTTTGTCTGTAAAGGCTGCCTTGTTTTTGTGTAGGATGGTGCTCTGTAAAAGTGGCATTTTATGTAAATGTAATTATTATGTTTGATGTAATTGAAAGTGTAACAACCTGTTTGCATCAAAACTATCTGTTAAGTGTTAGATATTTTTCAATAGTCGTGAACTTATGAGTTTGAATGTGCCATGTTTGCTCCCATGTCATTATCGATTAATCATGACTACTACCAATGCAGAAAAGCCATATCCCATGATTTTCATTAAGGTAACAACCTGTTAGTTGTGACAAAAAGATGTCCATAATTACAAGTTCGTCTCTCAGTACAAACTCAAAATGAGAGCAAGAAAGAGTATATTTACATCACAAACCCAAAAGATAGCAACACATTTACATATAAGCTAGATTTAGACTCTCATCACAAACCCAAAAGAGAGCAACGCATTTACATTGGCTCCAAAGAAAAAAGAGAGAAGCTACATGGGTGCTTGTTCATTTGCTCCTCCTGAATGGTATTTTATCCTTTCGTGTACGAACCAATAGTTGAACCTTGAAGCTATATAGAGAAAAAGGTAAGATATGAGCCAATGTTTTTCAATGAAATTGTTTACTACTTGCCAAAAAGTCCAAAAAGTTCAATGAAATTATTTACCTATTCAAAGCAAGACCTTCCTTTCATAGCAGCTTGGCTCCCTCCACCTTGGCTCACAGTAGATTGGCTCACAGCAGATTGGCTCACTCCAGCTTGGATAACAGCAGCTTGACTCCCTCCACCTTGGCTCACATCAGATTGGCTCATAGCAGGTTGACTCACTCTAGCTTGGATAAAAACAGCTTGGCTCCCTCCACCTTGGCTCACATCAGATTGGCTCACAGCAGGTTGACTCATTCCAGCTTGGATAATAGCAGCTTGGCTCCCTTCATCTTGGCTCACAGCAGATTGGCTCACTTCACTTTGGTTTCCTTCTGGCAGTGTAACAATACAAGTCCTCCTGTTATGCCCATTTTGACCACATCTCCTACAATTAATTGACACATTTTCACATTTCATCAACTTGTGTGGTTGTTTTTTTTATTAATCAACTCATCTGGTTCCTTCCTCTGTAATTTTTTTGGCCTACCAGGTTGTCTTCTGATCAATAGAGGCAATGATGGGGTCAATCCACTTTTAGGCCACATCTTATGTCCATTAATGGGGTTTATAATTGGTTCATAAGCCTGCATGAATGCCCCCTTCTTGTACTACCCAATAACATAATCTTCTGGTTGTTGTCCCCTATTTTGAATGCAAGAAATGGCATATGGGCATGGGATCCCTGTCAAGTCCCATTTCCTACATGAGCAAGACTGCTCCTTCAAATCAACTGTGTATTGGTCTCCATTCATACACCTTACCTCAAACTTCAACTTACCATGCCACTCAGCAATACAATCAAAGCTACCACTTTTCCATTTCTCTAATCTCTTTTGAATCTTAGGGCATATATCACCATGCCAATTCCTAACCCATTCTCTCCTCTTCAACATTCTTTGAGTTAAATAGCATCTAATCCATTCTACCATTTCTATGATGGGTTTATCCCTTGCCTCTATAATTGCCCCATTAAAGCTCTCACATAGATTGTTTAACAAAATATCACACTTAGGTTCTTCTCTGAAGTGTGACCTACTCCAATACCTTGGTGGCTCATTGGCCAACCAATCAAATGCCTTCTTATCTTCTTCTTTCACCATTTGTATCCCATAGTCAAATTTTGAAACTTAAGTTGCCCTAGCACATTTCCAAAATTTCTTCCTAATACTTAATCCCTTAAAGTGTTTAATGAAATTGTTTAGCATATGCCTAGCACAATGCCTATGCTCAGATGCTGGTACTCTCTCAGTCAATGCTGGAAGCAAACCCTGCACAGAATATACAATAATTAAACATGAATAGTACAGTTAATATAAACTGATAAAGAAATAAACATCCAAACATACCTTCTGCCTGTCAGTGATGAAGGTCCATTACTCTTGGTTTTGATCAGTTATGCCTAAGTCAGTGCATAGTACTGTTAAGAACCATGCCCATGATTCTTTCATCTCAATCTCAACAATACAGTAGTCAATGGGAAACATAGAATCATTGGCATCAATCCCAACAACAGTCAACAATTGTCCACTATATGCCCCTTTCAGGTGGCAACCATCTAATCCAATCACTTTCCTGCACCCTTGAAGAAATCCACTCTTACATGCTGCAAGACATACATAAAACCTCTAAAATATAAGTTTACCATTTTCCTCATCACCAGGTACATCCAAGATAATTGTGGAACTAGGGTTAGTCCTCCTTAGTTCCTCACAGTAATCCCACAATCTACCATATTGTTCAATTTCATCACCATGTATCAACAACATTGCCCTTTTCTTTGCTCTATACAATTGATTCCTTGATACATCAACATGAAAATCTCTCCTAACTCTCTTTTTAAAAGCCTTTATAGGCCAACAAGAGTTGGCCCTTAGGTCATCCATATATTTCAATGCTATCATCTTTGAGGTGACATTTCTGTTATTATAAGTTTTCCCACATGTATGATTACCAATGTATGTCTTTATTTGGTATGTTTTCTCACCATGCACTCTACAAGCATAAATTAGCCAACTACAGCCCCCTTCACATTTTGCCCTCACCCTCCTCTTATCATTTTTTACTAATTTCACATTTCTCTGATGTTTGATAGCATGCTGTCTAATGACATTCTTGATCTCCTCAGATGTACTAAATAACATACCCAGTTTAAAATGTGGGTCTTCCTCATCATTTTTTGCCCTAAAAACTTCAAATTTTTTATGTTTTCTTGCATGATTCTCTCCATTAGATGAACTGAAGCAGCTTAAAATCTCCTCACAATCACCATCTGTATCATTGAGTTCTAACTGTTGCCTTTTGTCTGTTGCTGATTCTTTCTGCCTATTACTATTTAAACCAGTCCATTCAGCTTCATTATCAACATAACTATCATACGACATGTTATCATTCTCACTTTCATAATCACTGTCAACCAACGTATCATACTCACTACATTCACTAGATTCACAATCAGGTTCGTATTCACTGTCTGATGCATCAGACTCTGATAATACCCTTTTTCCTTTATCAACTGAGACATCACCATCAACCTGCTGATTCTCCATTGTGACTGTTGTGTAATAAGATCCTATTCAAGGACCATATCAACTATAAAATATTGCAATTAACACATTAACTATCACTGAACAGTTTCCAATGCATAAACAATGATTTTCAAGGACCACATCAACTTAAAAAAATTGCAACTTATACAAACTATTAACAAAGAGTTTCCAATGCATAAACACATGGTTTCGAACAAACACATAAACTATATAATATTGAATATCGACTTTTACAAATCATTCTTACCCATGAACCTTAGACTTAAATCTATAAGAATGAGTACATACCATAATGGGGAATGTCTTCATTTGCATATTGATTTCTAGTCTTTCGTCGTTTGGAACGTACCATCTTTGTGCTTTGCCCTAATGGTGATCGTGTTTTTCCCTAATGGTGATCGTGTTTTGCCCTAATCGTGATTTGTCCAATTGAAGCTCTGGTTTTCAAAACAAGTGAATGAAGACATCGAAAAGTCTCATGATCAACTTCCCTCCAGTAATAGGAGGAGGGGTAAATGACATTATAGCCCCTCAGCTGGGTCATGTGGATGGCACATGACTATGAATAGACAAAAATCTGAACGACTTCAACGGCGGGGACTAGGTAAGTGCAAATGTAATACTTTGGGGACCAATTTGATGAAATTAGAAGGTTGGGGACCAAAATGAGACAACATAAATACTTTGGGGACCACAACTGTAATTAATCGTTAAAACTTTGTATATGGTTGGGAAAAGGAATATCCTACTAGGCTATGCTTTCTCATCCCTTACTAAAATTTTCAGAAACTTGCATGCATCCCGAGACATAGATGATGAAAATGTTGTGGGAGCTTGGACTATGAAGAATCTCTTTTGAATTCTTTTTGTACTTAGCCTTATAACTTGCATAGAAATATTAGTACACAAATATTTTGTTTGAAATGATTGTTTTTGATCATTCCATAGAGGGATTGTAATTTTTGGTATTGTAATATAAAGTTATGAATTTTTGTATTATGTTTTAGTATATATATGTACTAGTAATAACATGTGTCTGAAGACATGGTGTAATATAAAAATCGAACACTACAAAAAATTGAGTCTATTATATCAAATTGCGGCAAGCACTTTTTTTTTTTTATAAAAAATGAACAAAACTCGTACCTAAAGGTATTGTGCAACACAAAATCAAGTACTAATCATGTAATACAAATATTTCAAGTAGTAATTTATTTATTTATTTATTTTTAGTTACATTGTTTTAAATCAATCTAAACTCACAATCCATATAAAAAAAATTAACAAAGTTCACTTTAAAAATAGAACACGAATAAAAAATCAACCAATATACATAATTTATCAAATAGCTAATATTTGGTACAAATCTCCTTATTATTAATAAACAAGTAAATTTAAACAAAACATGGTCGGATCTAGTATCACTCCTCAATTCTACCTTAACAAAACCATTTATCAACTACCACAACAACATAGTAATATCAACAATAGAAGTTCAACTTTATTCATATAGATATGCATTTATCAAATCCAACCCACAATTTCAAATTCACACATTTAATTAACATTCATATCAACTCTCATATAAAAATTGCTACAATAAAAGTTCAAAATCCAATCAAAACTAAAATAAATCAAGATGATTTATTCATTTGATCTTGTGCTTGTGCCTAAAGACGCTACTACGTAGCCAAAAAATAAAATGACAATTAGCACAAATTAGAAATTCATTAGATAAAAAGTTAAACCCTCAATATATTTTGAAAAAAAATTGGCAGAATTTTCCCTAAAAATGAGACCCCAAAAAATTTTCAACCTATATACAAAATTTATTTTCATACCCAAAAGGCTACCAAAAGTCTCACTATCACACCACAGTTACCAAATAACACAACCACGTAAAAGCGGAATTTTGGAGAAAAGAATTATTGCAACATATATAACTTGATATTTACATTTCCGGTGAGCATAATGAATAAAAAATTGATTTAGAAAACAAAGAAATAGTATGCACCTTAAATATATGCAGCTAATTTCATTACCATGGTTTTTTCAAAAAATTGTATCTTTACATATGCACAGTAAACAATAAATCCAAAGATTTCAATCTAAAATGGGTATAACAATTGCCACCATAGAATTAAAGGTCTATAACATTTATCCAATAATCCTTCATCTTGAAAGAAGGAGAGAAATTGATAAAAAATAATCCATAATTTCGAAATGAAATATATGGATGAAAAATGGATTATTGTAAGCCGAATGAAGATCAAAGGCTTGAATGTTATCTACATACAACTTCACTAGAAAACAACCCAAAGCATGCTTCTATACATATCTGAAAATAATATAAGGAACAAAAACAATTTCATTTTTCTCACAAATCAATTACATACAACCCCAAGAATGCTTCCACACAAGTGAGAGTGTTGCGTGCACTGTGTGAGTGCAAATATGTATAAATGATGTTATTCAGTGAGTTGTAAAGTCGATGTGTGTGAGAATTGTGCCAGTGGGTGTTTGTTTGTGCGCTAATTTAAAAAATAGGAATCAATTGGAAAATCTCAAATGCAATAATTCGATATGCAAAATGCAACTTCAATACCANTTTTTTTTTTTTTGAATATCCACCTTTATTTCAATTCCTTTATTTCTTTCTCCTTTTCTTTTCTTTTCTTTCTTTGCAACCCTTTTTTTTTCCCCTCTTTCTTTACTTTTGCCTTCTTTTTTTGAATTTTTGTTCAATTCATGCGTACTTCATCCCTTTGTTTTATTTCCCACAATCACATCTTCACTTCTTTGAATATAAGCATTGTTCATCTTGGGATAACCAAGGTAGGGTAAACATATTAAACATGGCTTGGTCAAACATGTGGTTAAAGAAATGAAATTTTCATTTGCAGCTCAATCACAGTGACTGGGGATAATATTTCAAACAGAAAGGCTAAGGTTCTAAGTAGATCAAAGAAGGCCTAAAAACATTTCTAAGAGATACATGATAAATTATTAATATGCATTTTAGATCAAGTCAATTAACTTTCATTTTGCATACTAACCAAAACAAGAATAATGAGATTAATTGAATTTGAGAAATTTATACTTTTGAGTAAATGTAAGTTAACCCTCCAACAAAGAACAACACAATAGCTCACAAGGGTACTTCATTCAGCCCCACTATTTATGTCAAGGTCTATAAGATGTGAATCTCATTCAGTAAATTGTAAAAATTATACTTCCATAGTGCACTTTGGTTGAGTTTGAATGAAGACATGTATGTGATACTTAAGCATAGGATAAACTTCTATGGTGCACTCATATGTTAAAAATTCAAGTTTTAGGTCAAGCAAACACAAGTCCCACAATAGTTAGGAGGAAAAATATAGTTCAATATCGGATGTTCTTTTTTTCAAAAAATTTTAAAACTTCATCAAATTTTCAACTTAACATCAATAAAATGGTATAACTTGTAGATGATGCACCTCACCCCCAACTTGAATTAAGCATTGTCCTCAATGCAACAAAAAAGATATGCAATGAGAATTAAATACAATAAGGGTAAGAAAGTACCTCGCGTTGAGCTTTAACAAAAACACTACCAGCTGCAAAACAAATGAAAAAAACTATATATTAAAGAAAGTAAGTCAACAATTTAACTAGTAAAAAAAATAAATCCGGGTATACTGGATCAACCAACTTCTCCTCAACCTCCTCAAGTTCAAAACCCTTAAAGAATGACCTAAGTCTTTAGCCATTGACCTTGAATGTCTTGCTATTCTCTGGGTTTTCTATGTCCACAACTCCGTGTGGCTAGACCACCTTGACAAAGTAGTGGCCATCCAATTGGGAACAAAGTTTCCCTTAGAAAATGGAGAGTTATGAATTATACAAAAATACTTTTTGGCCGAGCTCAAATGTTTTCCTTAAAATGAATTTGTCATGGAAAATGTTTTCGTTTAAGAACTTGACCAAAACTTGGTGGTCATTGTTCCTCGTAGGGATTGCCTTTACCCACTTAGACAAGTAGTCTACTGCCAGAGTATGTAAAGGTAGCCATAAGACATGAGGAAGGGACCCATGAAATTGATACTCCAACAATCAAAGATTTCTATGACAAACATGGGGGTAAGAGGCATTATGTTCCTACGGGTCACACTTACTAGCCTTTGACAGTTATTACATTATTTGTAATATGAAACACAATCTTTAAATAATGTAGGCCAGTAAAAACCATAGTGTAAGTTCTTAGCTAAAGTTTTCTTGGAAGAGAAGTGCCCGCCACATGCTTCGGAATGACAGAAGCAAATGACTTCTCACTGTTCATTTTCTAGTACATATCTCCTCATGACTTGGTTAGGGCAACACTTGAACATGTATGGATTGTCAAAGTAAAAGTAATTCACCTCCGTCATAAATTTTCTCTTGCCCTCCAGGCACCAATATGGGGGCATTTTTCTTGTGGCAAGAAAAATACAGATGTCAGCATATCATGCACAAATTGAATGAATGAAAAGTAAATGCTCATTTGGAAAAGAGTCAGGAATAGGGATGTGCTTGTCGGTGTCTTAGACAATAAGCTATGATAAATAGTCTGTCACCTCAATCTCGACTCCTTTCTTATCTTTGATGATCAAATGGAATTCTTGAAGGAGGAGGATCCACCGATTGAGTCTCGGTTTGATATCCTACTTGGACAACAAATACTTCAAAGCAGAGTGATCAATATAGACTACTCTAGGAAAACCAATGATGTACAACCTAAATTTACCTAGGGCAAACACTACAACTAGCAACTTCTTTTCAGTTGTAGTGTAGTTCATTTGAGTTGTATTTATGGTTTTGCTAGCGCAGTATATGACACAATGTTTCTTGTCTTTCCTTTGACCTAGCACTATGCCGACTGCGTAATCACTCGTGTCGCATATGAGTTTAAATGAAAGTTCCCAATTGGGTGATTGCATGATTGGAGGTGAAATTAATATACTTTTGAGTTTTTGAAAAGATACCTCACAATCATTCGACTACA